CGCCGCCGCCGCCGCCGCCGCCGCCGCCGCCGCCGCCGCCGCCGCCGCCGACCGACGACGGTCTACAAACGCATAAATCGAAGCGTAAACTCTTCAATTTGACCCGCAGTGTCGTGCGCCGGCGACCGAGGCGTGAATAGAGAGCCGGTCGGCGATTTGAATGGCCGGCGACATCGGCGCATAACGACCTCACGCAGCCGACGCTGCCTTTGCGCGTTTGGCAGTAATTCTTAATCAATCACGGGAGGCATTAAATGTGACTGTTGTGCAGATAACACTTTGTGAAACAGTCCCAATCTATATGTCAAAGCAATAAATTGCGGCGATGTTATTGCGGGATTGGCCACAAGGGACGTGTCTTAGATGGTGAGAAAAAGACCGGCGTAATAGAATTGCACAACTCTGATAGAGCAAAGCTGAGTGCAGCGCTTGATGGATGAATCCACTAAATCTCTTACCCTAATTGAATCTTGCTAACAGCATCCTGATATTCGCTCCTATCGTCGCGCGAAAATTGATTCGACAAAGTTAGCGCGAGACAAGATAAAGCAGAGAGAGAGCGAGAGAGGATGCATGGGATGGGAGAAAGCAAGAACGAGGGAGAGCAAGCCTATAGGGAGAAAAGCAAGAGGGGAAGAAGGAATGGGAGGGGAGAACGCAAGGCAATGAAGAGAGTAAGGGTTTGAGAAGAGCAAGCGATGTGGAGGCAATAGGAAACGGGGAAATTCAAGCGAGGGGAGAGAGTAATTGAGGGGGAGAAAAGAAGAGAGAGCAGAGCGCAAGAGCGAGTGAGAGAGAACAGCAAGAGAGATTGAGAGAGTGAGGACGAGAGAGTGATATATATATATATATATATATATTGATAGATAGATAGATAGATAAATAGATAAATGGATAGACGGATAGATAGAGAGATTGATTGAGAGATAGATAGTTAGATAGATGATAGATAGATAGATGGATAGCTAGATAGATAAGTAGATAGATAGATAGATAGATAGATAGATAGATAGATAGATAGATAGATAGATAGATAGATAGATAGATAGATAGATAGA